GCATTCCACAATGTTACCAGGAAAGACATTCAACAAATAGTAAGAGAAAGACCATTTAATTCTAACATTGCTTCTTTCTTCAATTCTCATCAGGTCTCCCAACATCTTGGCTCATGAAAGATGTACAAACATCAAACCAAAAGAATAAAAGCTGCTGCTGGGAAGATGTGGCCTTCAAATCTCTCCAAGATCAGGCAATCTCTTAAAAATGTTTACCATAAATTTAATAACCAGCACCCAAATTCAACTAGAAATCCAACTCTAACTTCCTATGGTTGTGATCAAGATGACAGTACTGATGAAGAAATGAGTGTTATAGGAATGCTCCAAGATATTAAAACTGTCCAAATTGACCTCCTCAAGAAAATGACTGACATTGTCAGTGCAGTATCAAAATTCCAGGGAAAGATTGACTTTTATCAGAAGCAGATGGAGGTACTAGAAACCAGAACGAATGTTAATGAAGACAAACAATACACAATAACTAAAGATATCTTCGCAATGAAAGAAAACATTGATGCTTTAAAGAAGAAGGTAACAGAACTGGAAAACCAGAATTCTTCCAGCATACATTCTTCAGAATTTCTGGAAGGAGAAAAAGGTAAAGAGGTCATGGAATTACTTCACAAACTCATACAAGCACAAACTTTGAAGAACACGTTGGCTTCTACAGACTCTGAAATCTCTTCAGCAAAACCAGAGAAATTGCCTAGTTATTCTGATCCCACTGAGGAAAAAACAATTTCTCCCAAAATTAAAATTCTGAAGCAAAGTAACCAACAAAATGCATTAAGAAGCTTTAAAAAGGCAAACTCAAACATTTATATTTACCCAGATATTAGTACATGGATCAAGCTAACTTTTGTCCATGGAGGAAAGTGGAGATTTTTTCTCAGTGCTACCAGGTTAGAAGAGTTCATCCAGTGGCTTCTTTCTAGGCCAACCATCCCTCCTGAAGAACCACAGCACATAACCCAGAGATACTGTCCACTCACGGGGCCTATTGTGAGCTTGACCACAATCTGTCTCTCTGTTTTCAACTACATCTACTGTCTTTTTGGTTTTTTAAAGGAGGAAATAACTCGACTATAGAGTTATATTCTGCTTTGCTTGGCACAAAATAAATGTAACCGCTTGGCTGTAAGCACACACACATCTTTGTGGTTGCTGTAAACTCCTTGCTCACATTTCTATATGTCTACAGTAAGTTAAAGCATATCATCCCATTGAACAACTGTGGTGCCTTTTCTGTCAATGTTCTTGTTTTCTCACAGGCAAAATTCATGAGGCTCATCCAGTGCCCATTTCTTAGATAATGAAGCAAAAATAAAGAGGTCACCACCTAACTTAGTTAATGAACTCTAGCAATATAGTCTGATGCTGTTAAATTACAAAAGTTCATGGTAAATATACTACTTTAAGTTACTCCCAGTTAATAATTTTAAGTGGGGCTTTCTTTGGCAATTAGCTAAGAACAACCTAGTTTCAAGTGAGAAAAAAAGGTAGTGAGGCAGGTATAAAAGAAATTAAGGGAGAAATAGTATGAAAAGACACAATATTGCCTAGTACCAGTCTGGTGGCAATTATATACAACATTTTTTGTTTACAAATGCATTTTACTTAATCCTTCTTTACAAATTTACAGATTAAATGTGTACACAAATAATTTTTAAATATGTCAATTTGTGATAGGTGCAGCATGGACCGTTCTATCATATACCTACTTAAGGCAAGACTATATATTCAATGGGTTTGTTTTAAACCCATTTAAAACATGCTAACAAAGTCACGTATCATCTTGGAAAAGGCACCAGC